TATGAATCGAGCCTTTATCACTGCCCCTGGGGAGAGCTCAGTCAGCCGAAAGACCTACAGGCATAATTAGACGATCTCCACACAACGGAATCACCCCACTGTTCACTCCTTTAGGAATCACGGAAAATTTCACGGAGGCAGATGTGGTTACAGCCACTTTCGGACGCATTTAGAAGATGTGGTACTTTCTCAGCCGGACACCAAAAGTGCTCGGGTCCCCGGTGCCTTGACGTAAATTCAAATTCGCCCGATGAAAGAGGTTTCCCGAAGTCTGACATGCAAATGCGCGCAGCTCCGCGATGAATGCTGCAGCCTCTGCAGCCAAATGCAAAATGGCTCCTCAGCATCTCGTGCTGGAGCAGGTGGAGTGTGTAGTCAGTGTCTAGGGTAACTGTATGACCACCATGGGATTATGGGAAACCAGACACAACCCATTTGTGATTTTAATGACTGCTGACTTACTATAAAGGTGTGGCATGTGAAGACTCCATTCCTCCTGAGTATTAAATAAAAAAGATAATTCAGGAGTATTTGCACGGTGCCTGATATGCAAAGCACAAGATGATCTATCAGTCGCACCTGCGCATGGGTCACGGTAGAGAAGACAAAGCGAAGTTGACACAGTCATGCTTCCTGTGTGGATGTGGGGGAGGGACTGAGGTCAGGGTCACTGAGACAGCGTGACAGATAAGCCATAGACTAGAGCGAGAGATGGCTTAGCTACCGTCAGCATCACACTCAAGATTCCAGAGTTTATCGCCAGATACTGCTCTGCATATCCTTCTGCTCACTCTGCATATCCTTCTGCTGTCTCTCAAAATTAGACAGGCCGTCAGACTGCTTAATACCCATATCTGATGCTTTAACCCATATCCATTCCAATCTACCCACCTTGCACTTTATTAGAACTGTTGCACATCTCAGGCCTATTTATTTATTTATTCTACAGTATAACTTTTGCTTTTTTTAAAAAACTTTTGCTTTCAGTGTAACTATTTTTCAGTATAACTTTATTTCTACGTATATTATCGTGTCATTACTTTGAATGTATTTCTGCTGTCACTGTTTTCTAGGACGACGTTGACCACCCTATTTTTCACCGCAGCTAATGCTCTGACTGTATACCTTGCATGTGACAAAACCCTTGAATCCTTGATTCCGGTGCAGACGCTGCGTACCAAGGCTCGCGCACTGTGAATAGGGCGCCTGGTACCGGACTGGCGCCGAAACAGCCGAATGATCGTCAAAGTGGGAGTGCGCGATTTGCCGGTATTAAATCGTGAATGATTAAAGTGTCTTCTGTCGCTACAGAGAGGTTGTGGAGTATCGTGCTACAGTGCGCATTCCATCAGTTGCAGTTCTGTGGCTCATACACGCATCTGAAGTTGTTTTGTCAGGCAAATCAGTTTCGACACACCAGTCAGTAATAGAAAACAGTAGGCAGTGCCTTGTATTTCTCTCTCTCTTCCTTCCACGCCCAGCATTCAATACGCGACATGCAATACTTGCTAGTATGGACGACATGGAGGAGCTGGTCACTAAAAAGAATTTGACATCGGTAATTTCGGAAATGGGGGACTTGTTTGGGTTTAACAAAACCAACACGGTTACTGTACAGAAAAAAGTCTTTACAACCATCAGGAAAAACACTTGTTATAAGACCGTGATCCTGTGTGAAAAAACCGCGATATGATATTTTTTGTGATATTTTTGCTATATCGCTCTCTCTCTCTCTCTCTCTATATATATATATATATATAAACGCACTTGCCTACATCTCACTCTCACCTTCGAATGCAAAACAAAAAAACAGACAAATATGACAGTGCCACAATAAAATAATAATCAGAATAAATTCAGAAATAGACATCGTGTCAGAAACCCAGCCTTGTCATGATCTGACAGTGTACCCGTGCTCACCAAGTCACAGTTAGTCAGAGTGAGTTACAGTGAGTCAGAGTGTGGGCCCACGGAACACCCTAGAATGTCCACCCCAGTGAAACAAATTCCCTTCCACACCCCTGACGGACTTGGGACTTTACCAAGATGCTGGTTATGTGGGACACCAGACACCATGCAGCTGCAGCATGCATGGATGCATCCAGCTCTTACACGATCGGCGACGTGACAACCTGCTTCTGAGGAAGTTTGTGTCAGCTGACTGAGAGAAATCCAGGCATAGATGAGCCATGGCAGAGCTAAAAAGCAGGTATGTGGTTTTGTTTTCTTCATTGCCACAGTCTTTCACCTCATAGATGACTAGAGGTACATAGCTGTGGAAGCTAGAAAAGGCTCCGTATGCAGACAAAGCATGTGGTGAATAAGCAAAATGGGTCAGCGTTTTATATGCAGCATTATCCATGAGATAACTGCCCCCCCCCCCCCCCCCCCCCCACTCCCCCCCCCCCCCCCCCCCTCCCCCCCCCCCCCCCCCCCCCCCCCTTCACAGAACTGCCACCACACCCCCGCTCTTTCCCCCAGCGCTGCTTCTGTACACTACCTCTGTGGTCTTACCCACGTCTCCATGATGTAATCCCATCCCACAGGGTTCATTGGCTGAACTGGGTTAAATATACGTCCTCGAAAAGCCTTAAAAATCAAGTGAAGAAATTCATGTCAAAACAGAACAGTCTAGTGTTTAACATGGCATTACACTAATACTGAGTCATGCTTCACAAATAATATCCCATTGTTACAATGTAAAACATTGTTGTGACTCAGAGATAATGAGCAGATTTGCCGTTGTAGGAACAATTGCTAAAACTCGTTAGTTCACCTAAGGTGCACATATAATATAGATCCTGAATGTTAACAATCTGCTGCTGGATCCATCGTCCTATGCTGGTTCAGCAGAGACTCTCCTGGGACCAGGGCTGGGGTGTCATTAGGTGTCACGCCTGTCCATCAGCACACAGACAGACAGACATTTTAATAAGGGAGTTCATGCAGAAAGTGTGTGTGTCTGTGTGTGTGTATGTATATAAACACACAAACATACAGCATCTGCATAAGGACAAAAATAATAATGTTTGCGATGAAATAGTGCCCAAATAAACGTTCCCCATCCCTCAATAGATTCCCCTTTTCTTTTCAGCTAAGATCATAATTAGGTTTAATTGACATAGGTCTATAAATTCAAAATTAATACTCAATACCGTATTACTGTCAAAGGAACGGCCTGATATACTGGAAAACATTTTGTAATTTTCACCACTGCAGTTATTTTTAGAATAATGCAATTTAATTGGAAAATAAACTTTATTTTATTTGATTTAACTATAAAATCTTTGAAAATTGATGCGGATTCGTTTAACCAATTGCTCAGTGGCATTTGATTGGTTAATTAAGACATCTGCTGGCCGGCAAGCATCGCCCAAGGTTGTCTGTGCACCGGGATTTTGGTTCTTGCGTCACATGTAGATGAGGCTGCAGCGTCACGTGGATATCTGATGCGACAGAAAACGCCATGTATAGGAACCCAGACGATGTGCAAAAATGTGTATCTTGAAAATGCCACCACACTCCCGATATGGAAATGTACAGACTGGGTGCTTTTCAGTGGATCGGTGCAGACGATGCTTAGCATTCAGCGCACACTCCGCCCAGGCCCCGGGCGGCTCACCTACTGGCGTCTAGACGCATCTCAGTTGTGCCGCTATATGACGCGCAGCTCTCCTTTCATGGGGGTCTCTCGCTGCTCTTACAGCGGCAAACACACCCCGGAGCAGTGCGGCTCCTCATCGCGACGGCTGTAGGCAGGCAGACAGTGCCAGCGCCGGTCGGCCGATCAGTTGCTCTGCGCTCGTCATCCCTCGGGAATGTGCCCCCGTCCTCGATGATTCTGAGCTCGGCGTCCTGCCTTCGCTCACAATGAATGGCCGCCTGTAGCCAGAGAGAGAGAGAGAGAGCGAGCGAGCGATCGCGTCTGACTCCTCCATTGAAATAGTTCACAGCAGCCAACACCGAGGGGGTGAGTTTGGGTCGGCCTCAGCCCGATCGGTCGGGGCCCTGGATAGGCTCGGGTAGCGGCGGGCCGGTGCCGACGGGCCATCGCCGGGCGGAAATCGGCTCGGTTCGGGCTGAATTTTGGGGTATTGTTTTGGGGAAGGTGTGCGATGGGGGGATGGGTTCCTAGGACCCGCACCAACAAAACTTTAACCACTTCGCCGGCTTTGGAGCGCCTGGCCCCGGCTGCGAGCTTCCGCCGCGCCGCATATTAAACTTTTTCTAAATGTGCGAAACTTGCGTTATACCTGCGGTGAGTTTGGGTAGTTAATGATGGGGGGGTTGGCTTGGGGGATTTATAACCAGGTGCGCATCACTAACGGCGACAAGTGGTTAAAGCGGTGCCTCGTCCAGTCCTGCGGTCCCGGTTTGCTCTGGTTCACCCCCTTCGCTGCGTTTGTCCTGGGATGACCTGTTGATGGGCACGGCGGGGGACTGCCTCCCCCATCCCCCAGCATTGAGATTAAAAATACGCCGCCGCTCAGAAGCACATCACAGGCGGCTTCGGGCACCGAGAGCCGGGATCGGTAGAGTCGTAGCCCGTGAGCACCGCTTGGGGATGCGCCGGGACCGTGGAGTCGCAGCCCGTGAGCCCCGCTTGGGGCTGCGCCGGGATCGGGGACGCGTCCCGTTTCTGTAGGCCCGACATCGCGGTGCATTGGCACAGGGCGGGCGGCACCGGCCGATGCGCACTTTACAACAAATAAATACAACACTTCCGTCGGTTTTTTTCTCCCCGATTACGGCCGTCGTCGGCGATCGTAAAGCGTGGACAGGTCGCCGTGACGCCCGTGAGATTTGCAGGGCTTTCCGCCTCCGCCTGCCGTGGCCCCCCGGCCGTGCCAGTGGAGCGCTCCTACCGGGCAGACCCAGCCTGGCATACGGCGGGCACGGGCACGGCCAGCCGGCCCCAATACCCCGCCGCTACCCCGAGCCGGCGCCGCTCGCTTCTCACACATTAGTGACGCTTATTATATCCAAGGTTTGCAATTAATTTATATTGACTGCTAAATATGGTACTTTAATCTGTTTGATCTGGGGACTGTGTCGTAGTATCCTCCCGATAAAATAAATAGTTTTTTCTTTCCAGACCAAGTTCCATATTTGTGAAATGATTAACTATAAATACCAATGTTACAAGAGATACTCAAAGTAGTGTTCGCTATGGATGAATATATAAGTTTTTAAAAGTAGCTGCCATAACATGATTTGGCAGCGAAGCTAGCTAAACTAGCCAACCTTGAACCAGGAAATGAATTGCCAGCAGTACCTAGAAGCGAGAGATTACTAGGTACTTAAATTCCCAGAAGTATTTAGATTTGCGGTCTTCATCGGTTAAGATCAGGCTTCATCTCTCATAAGAGGCTTCCGTGATCGGTTTGCCTGCACTGCGTGACAGGACTAGCCGGCTGGTCTTTACATTTTATACTGATAAATGATCTTAAAATCATTAAAAGTAACCTGTGAGGATCTGTGTTTTGAATCGGATCTCTGGCCTATTAGCGGACTGAGGATCCCCGAGGTTGGGTGACCTCCTTGCCCCTCGCCCAGTTCCTTTTTGCCTTTACCATCTGTGGAAATTGAGGTGGTTGATGAGTTGTGGTTTGGATAGATAAGAGGTCTTAAAGACTAAATATGTATATGTGTCGTCTTTGTGGTGTCTAGATTTAGTTCATTTTGTCTATTTTTGGTCTCCAAAGGCATTGGCCCAGTGTTGGTGGGTAGTAACACAAGCAAAATTTAACCTTAGTTGGCTTCCTAGAATTTGACAAATGGCCAATCAGAATTTTACTCATTAGTCTTTGTGCCATTGTAGTACATTTAAAAAAAAAAAAATTCACACATAGGAGGATTTACTCATAACTCTTGACATCACAGTAACTCCTTTGTATCCAGGATAGGGGCGGACTATCACTACTGGTGTCAAAATTCACGATAAATACATCTGCACCCTTAACCTCAACGCACAAGTCTGCTAGCCTGAACAACAACCTAGCAAATGCACATAACATAAAAAGTCTATCAGTTTTTAAACACAGCACTCTACCGTACACTTTGTCAACTTGCTCTGTCATTTCCGATCTAGACGTTCTTATATAGTATACAGATCATCGAGATTATGCCCCTGTATGTACAAAGTTACTACTGCACTGCTGGATGTGCAATGTTTTTGATCTGTTCTTAAAAACGCAAAATGAAGTTTAAAAATTTCTGTGAGAAACGGGAGATTCCACGGTCACAACGATAGCTAACACGTGAATGAAGCCGGTTCCCGAGACAAAGACGTCAAAGTCAGGACTTGTTAAAGGTAGTGTAAGGGCATGCTATAACAAATGCTATGTATCACTAATATTTATATGTTATGTGATCCGAATCATTTTCAGTATTGTTTTTGTCTTGCGCGTCATTTCGGCAAGCTCCAGAAATATTACTGTTTACGACTAACTCACCAATAAATGAAAGAGTGTATTCTTTTCTTTTGGGGGTGGTAATCGTGAATGGGACACTGGCCTTTCGTAGGTGTTTGCTGAGGGTCTCGGTCTTGTGAATGGGACACTGACCTTTTGCAGGTGTTCTCAGAGGGTCTCGGTCTTGTGAATGGGACACTGACCTTTCGCAAGTGCTCTCTGGGGGTCTTGTCGCTCTGTATTTAAACAGGTCTTCTGTCAGTATTTTACGGATGACTAAGTGCACTTATATTAACCCTGTCCTGAAGGCCAAAAGTCGCTCTTGATGCAGGCAGCTGGTAGAGGAATGCAGGACCCTGGTTGATAGCATTCGGCAATGGGTCCAGTAACTGTGGCTTAATGCCTTTGGCCAAAGGCTCCGTGCTCTGACAGCTCCTCTCTGTGCTTGCAGACCCCGTGGTGCTGGCTGTAGCACCATGGCTCAGACGCTGCAGATGGCCATCCCCAACTTTGGCAACAACGTCTTGGAGTGTCTGAATGAGCAGCGGCTGCAGGGGCTCTACTGCGACGTGTCCGTGGTGGTGAAGGGCCACGCCTTCAAGGCCCACCGAGCCGTGCTGGCCGCCAGCAGCTCCTACTTCCGGGACCTCTTCAACACGGGCAGCAAGAGCTCCGTGGTGGAGCTGCCGTCGGCCGTCCAGCCGCAGAGCTTCCAGCAGATCCTGTCCTTCTGCTACACGGGCCGGCTCAGCATGAACGTGGGCGACCAATTTCTGCTCATGTACACCGCCGGCTTCCTGCAGATCCAGCAGATCATGGAGAAGGGCACCGAGTTCTTCCTTAAGGTCAGCTCCCCCAGCTGCGACTCGCAGGGCCTGCAGGCTGAGGAAGCCCCGCCCTCTGAGCCCCAGAGTCCCGTCACGCAGCCGTCTGCGGGGGCGGGGCCTGGCGGGGCGGCGGCCAGTTCCGCCGGTCGACCCGCATCCTGCCTCACGCCGCTTCCGCTGGTGTCCCGTGTCAAGTTGGAGCAGCAAGAGGCCTCCTCCTACTCTGTGGTCTGCACCCCTGTGGCCAAGCGCCTCTGGGAGGGCAGTAGCCGGGAGGCCGGCGGAGGAGGCTCGGGCGGGGGCGGCGGCGGCAGTGGGGGCAGCGGCGGGATGAGGAAGGTCGCCCGCTTCTCTCAGGAAGCGGTACGAGGCGGGGCGGCGCAGGCGGGAGCCATGGCTGCAGGCGGGACAGGAAGTCACGGTGCCGCTGCCAATGGCAGCAGCAACAACAACAACGCCACCTCCGAGGGTACCAGCCCGGGCACTCTGAGCGCCTACACCAGCGACTCCCCCAACTCCTACCACGATGAAGAGGAGGATGAAGAGGTCTTGGAGGATGGCACTGAGGAGCAGTACCGTCAGATCTGCAACATGTACACCATGTACAGCATGCTTAACGTGGGGGCTACAGGTAGGACACCTGGACAGCACTGGGAGGCAGGCAGCTAACTGGGTTATCACTGGTAGTTTACTCTTAGGTCGTGTTCGCCTGGGGGCACAGCAGCCATTTTTCATTGAAGCCTTTGCATTTTACATACGTCCTTTACTTACGTAAATTATTTCTCGTAGGGAAGAAAAAATAAGGATTAGCCACCAACATTTATCGTGATGATACCCTGGGCAGCTTTTTAAGCCGTGTAGCAGAGCACTTCCCCATCGAGATTAGGCCACGAATTTATGACTTTGAACGGCAGTGGGCAACTTTTCACAATTATCCTGATGAGTTGCCCTTTGTCTCACCTTGTTGGTGGTTGCTTGGCAACATTGTTCAAAGTTGCCCTGTATGTCATCACCTGTAAAGTACTTATGGTACAGGGGGGACACCATGACGCTTATTGTAATGGATGTACAGGGTTGGAATAAGAGGTGTGCTTCATGAAGTTGCTCTCTCTCTCTCTCGTGTGTGTGTGTGTGTGTGTGTGTGTGTGTGTGTGTGTGTGTGTGTACGTACCAGCCGGGGAGCGTGTGGACGCCCTCCCCGACCACATGACTTCTGACACCAGGAACAGGATGCGTGTCAGGCAGGATCTGGCCTCTCTGCCTGCTGAGCTCATCAGTCAGATTGGAAACCGCTGCCACCCCAAGCTGTACGAGGAGGGCGACCCCGCGGAGAAGCTGGAGCTGGTCTCAGGTCAGTCTGCCACAGCAGGCCAATCGCGGTGCCCGGCTGTGCGATGGGCGGGGCTTATTCCCATCCCCATGAGGTGCTGTCTGTCTGTGCCGCTTTTGCACTGAGCCGGGTCTGTGTGCCTCTGCAGGCACCAGTGTATTCATCACCCGAGCCCAGCTCATGAACTGTCACGTCAGTGCGGGGACCCGTCACAAAGTACTCCTCAGAAGGCTGCTAGCCTCGTTCTTCGACCGGTGAGTCTGCCCCCCCCCCCCCGCCTTCCCTGAGGTGCCCCCCCGCCTTCCCGTAGTCAGGGGCCTCCAGGCTTCGGAGTTACACCCCTAACTTCATCCTAAGCTGTGTATATATATTAATACTCACGGTGTATATATAATATTAATACCCACATCGGGAATCCAAGTGAGGAAATCCAGCGGCGCAAATGGCATCCCAGCTCAGCCAGATCCTGCCGGGGAAATATTCACAGGCGTACAAATCCCGGCAATAAATCAGCACAGCAACAGCCCATTAGTCCTCTTTATTTTTTTCAGTTTTCATTTTATGTTTTTACATGAATGTGCCTATTAAATGTCTTTAACTATTGCTGTAAAAGCAAATGCAAGGTATTACAAAATCCATGTTTATTACTTCATTAACTGGTAACTTGTATTTTAAATGTTCTTTATAATGTTGAAAATGTGTATTTTTAGTGTTAGGGTTGTTTTTGGGAACATAATTGGGGTTTCTTGGTTGAATCTGGGATTATTTTTTTTCTGTATTAAATAATGGAAACCGGTTCCTGCGCTTTAGTTTGCAGTTGGAGGGAATCAGTTACACTCAGATCATGGGCTGTCGATGCTTGTACTTGTCGTCATCCACTACTTTTCCCTCGTTTTTTGTTTATCTTTATTATCTTTATTTTTTGTGCTGAATTTCTCCTCTTGCCCTCCCCAGAAACACTCTGGCAAACAGCTGCGGTACAGGAATCCGCTCCTCCACCAACGACCCCAGCCGCAAGCCGAGGGTGCTGCATGCCGTGAAATGTGAGCCCGCCCCCGCCCCCGCCCCCGCAAACCCCGCCCCCGCCTGCCTGCCTGCCCGCCTGCCTGTCTCTCTCTGTCTGTCTGTGTGCCTCTCTCTGTGTCTCTCTCTTTGCCTGTCTGTCTCTCTCTTTCTGTCTGCCTGTCTCTGTGTCTCTCTCTCTGCTTGTCTGACCGACTAACCGACCTACCATGCTCATGTTAATACAGAGCTCAGAGACTCTTGGGGCGCCTGCTTAATTCTATAATCATGCTGCAATTTTACTGGTTTCATAATAATAGTCCATTGACAAGCGGTGCTTAATGTATCTGCACATTTTTTTCATCGTCATAATTTTTTGACTGACTCATTCAGTTCTGTTCTGGCCATTTTGCTATTGATTGCAATTGTAGTCATTGGCTCCCAATGGGACACTAAACACACGTTTGGTGTTTTATGTTATTGCGAAGGTGTTACTAATATAAATGCCCCCAATGAGACTGTTTGTCAATGAACTTTCTAATTCTGAACAGCTCTTATGGACCTATAATTTGGGTTTAATTTATTACTACTCGAAATGATTGTTTTAATTAAAATTATGGATCGTTTCTAATAATAATAATAATTATTGTTAGAAAACCAATGTAGTATTTTTCCTGAATTAAGGAAATGTCCCCAAGAGACTCTGTAAGCACTGTTGCTGTTAGTATGTTTTGTTGTGGTCAGATAACCATCAAATGATCATTGTTAATTCAGCACAAATACAAACTCGCCTAGTAGAATGTGGACATTGAGGGTTGGGGGCCAGATGCCTGCGGAATGGCCCGGGATCCCGGCCCCCCCGGCATCGGTCCTCGGCATGCAGACCCTGTGCTGGAGGTCTCCAGACCCTCGCCCTGGTCTCCTGTGACCCCTCTGTCTGTTCCTCGTCCGCCCCGCAGTCTACTGCCAGAACTTTGCCACCAGCTTCAAAGAGAGCGAGATGAACGCCATCGCGGCCGACATGTGCACCAACGCCCGGCGCGTCGTCCGCAAGAGCTGGATCCCCAAGCTGAAGCTGCTGATGGCCGAGGGCGACGCCTACTCCGGCTTCCTGTCCGACACCGGCAAGATGGAGGCCGACCCGCTGGGCGCCGAGCACGCTTTCGAGGCATCCGGGCTGGAGGCAGGGGCCTCGGGTGAGGTGGGGGCCCCCGGCGACTCCCTGCCTGGGGTGGGCGCGGATGCCGGCTCTCTCTTTTAGTTAGTTGTGCCCCCGCCTGTGCCCCACTCTTACTGACACCCACCTGCCCCCCAAGCCAAGCTGCTCGCGTGAGGCTCCATTCAGCTTAAGGAGAAGGTGCACTTGGGGGGGAGGGAGTATGTGTGTCTTTTTTTTTTTTTTTTTTTCCTTTTGCCCATTTGGAACAAGATATTAACCCCCCCCCACCCCACAGCACATGCTGCTTAAGTGCCCATGGCACATGTCCCGCCTCTTCTCCATATCAGCCAATCACATTCCTTAGGCCGGGGACATGGGCGGGGAGGGTCGAGGCGAGGAGCTGAAAATCTGATAACACTGTCCCGAGTTTGAATGTAGTCCAAAGGCCTTGGATTGTTTCATCCGAAAAAATTGACACAATCTACACTACTAGAGGCCCCCGAGGGCCCCTGGGCGTCCCGGCAGTGTATGGAGGGTGGATTAATTTGTACCTGTAACTTAAAGGCCCCTTTTCCCTCCTCCCTGTGCCCCTGAACTCTTACTCTCATGTTCTGACCAGAAAATTGTCCTTTTTTTTTTTTTTTTTTTTCTTTACGCTTCTGCTTATTTTTGTGTATTTAACATGCCAAGGATCCAGAGAGAGAGAGAGAGAGAGAGAAACGATCGTAGGGGTAAATCTGTCATTTTTAAGAGATGTTAATCTCCCATGTGTATGGGGAGCTAGAAAGGGATTGTTTTAAAATCTCGTTGTTTTTTTTTTTCTTTTTTCTTTTTCTCAGACTGAATTGTTGATTGAAACGTTTTTCCTGATAAAGGTTTTAAGGAGATTTCTACATGCGAGTATTTTTGCAGTGGCGGGTAGCAGGACTTTGTTCCGTCTGTCCGTCCGTGAATTCGGGTGAGGGGAGTGGAACTCTTTGGTACGTTATTGGAAAGAGGAGAAGGTATGGCTGGTTTGTGTCCTTACGAAGTGCCCTTCGTTTTCGTGCTCCGTGTGGCTGAAGGCCCCGCTGGCCTGAGGGACGTGTGAAAAGACAGTGCCCCCCCCCCCCAAGAATCCCAGCCCTGGGTAACCAAGGTGACCATGCTGAGCATTTTGGTGGCGCCTGCTAGACGGGGCTCGGGGCTGGAGACGTACTGAAGACTGAGAGTCCAGCTCGTTCTTTACTAGACTCTGTGGGTGTGGCTGGCATGGCCTCTGCCTTTCCCCTTGGGGCCTGTAGGGGGCGTCTGTCTGTCTGTCTGTGCAGTGGAGAGTCCTAGACTCAGCCTGCTGGTTTGTTTGCAGCTTTTGTAAACTAAACATCTGAGTCAAACCCTTCTTTCTGCTTTTTATTGTACATGTGTGCGCGTGTGTGATACGCCTGCTTGCGTCGCAGGAGACGGGCACGGCAGGCGAGATCCTGCGATGGCTGGCCAAGGCTGACCGTTCTAAATGCACCTTCTTAGGCAAAGTGGTCCGAATTTCACGCCGGTCGCTGTCGCTCTTGCGCCGCGAGGCCCGACGCGGCTGGCGCTCTTGTGATGTTCAGTGAAGGGATCTTTCCAGACCGTGCCGATACCGCGTCCTTCCGCTTCGCTGGTCAAGCCGCGTATGGTCCCCGGATTGGGTCTCTCACCGACTCTGCTACTGACTTGCTGGGGGATGTGTGAGGAGGGCGCCTCACTGTGGTCGCTGCCCCCGAGGCGGCCCTCTAGCTGTTAGGAGAATCTGTGTAGAACTTTTTTTTTATTTTAATTTTTTTTAGCGGATATACTGTAGAATTAGCTTGTTACAAATACTACTAATTCAAGATTGAGCAGTTGCCAATTTGTGTAAAGATAAGGACAAAAACCTTTTTTTTTTGATGATGATCTATGTTTTGACTGAAGTGCTTGGTAGGGATGTAACACGAGATGCTGCAGGTTCTCCTGCACCGTAGCGAATAAATTGGTGAGATTTCCAAAGCAGTTCTCGTTTTTCTTACCTTGGGTCTGATTTGAAAGCAGCCTTACTTACTTAATGACTGTTGGGTACAGCTGACATTTGTCTCACTGGGAATGTATCTGTACATGATGGGGTTCTGGTGTCTTGTGTAAATGGATTAGGTTAGAAATTTGTAGCTCCTCTCTGATGGCTTGAGATGCTGGTGTAGTGCCAACCCTGACCACCAGGAGGAAGCAAATTCCTTACATAGCAACAATTGCATTTTCATTCCACCAGGGGGATGGACTCTGCCCTGAAGGAACTGTTCTGGGGGGGTGAGACAGCAGAAAGGATTTGGGACTTTGTGACAAGGATAAGCTATGTTAAAATCCAAAAACGCATTTAAAAGAAGAATAACTTAAGATTGTATGGGGGAGGAGATGTAGCCGCCTGTCCAAATTGAGGGACGATTCTCGTTGTCAGTTTCCACCCTCCATGATGAAAGAGAAAAAATATAAACAAGCACCTTTGGGTGGCGCTCTTGGCCCCGTGGCTGGATATGGGCACCACAGCACCTTCTGTTTGCTTTTTCTGTCTGTGGGGGTGGCACTGAGGGGAGTTTGTCCAGGGATTGATGTCTGTCTTTTGTGTTTATTCTCATTTTTAAAATCCCCCCCCCCCCCCCCCAATTTTTAAACCCTTCCCCAGGCAGGCTCTGGGAGGAGGAATTGATGAGGCATGTGATTTCTGTTCCCGAAGGGGTGGAGGATTGTGGGAACGGAGATGGGGGTCTGTGACTGTACCAGTGATGGAGAGATGGCACCAATAGATTGTGTGTGTGGTTTGGGGGTGGCTGGTTCACGCCATGCCAGTTATGACGTGCTTCTGGGGCCTCTTCCCTGGCTCCCCCCACCGTTGCCCCGGTCCTGGCCCTTCCCAGCACCCCTTTGCTTGGTACCACGGCCGGTCAGCCCTGTTATGTTCTCTCTGCTGGACTCTCCGCGTTTTTTCCTGACTGCAGTCTCTGTTAGACTTTGTACTCAGAAGTCATAATTACCGTTTTCGCTCTCGATGGCCCTATGCTCCAGAGACGGGCAGCGGATGCACCTCCCGTCCTCTCAGTCTCCCAGGTGAGCGTTTGGCGGCCTTTGGCCGGGGACCAGCAGGAAATGCTTTGAGGCTGAGCTGCCGTGCCGAGCCTTCCGCTAGGTCGCCTTTGTAAGAGGCGCATTCAGCTGGTTTGAAAATGGTGGCCATCTTTGTTGAGGTAGAGTTTCTACGTACAAGGAGAGGGAGAGGACGGCATCTCTGGTCTGTTTATGGTTAGCAGATCTTTTTCCACTATATATATATATAAATAATATATATGTATATATATATACTGTATATTATACATAGAAGCACTAATGAAGTTTGATTGTTAGTTGTGCAAACTCACAGCATGAGGTATTAACCCAGAAATGCTTATCAGACCAATGCCGTAGCGTCTGCTGATGCCCAAGCCCCTCCGTGACCCCGTCCGGACCCCTCCGTGACCCCTGACCCCGTAACGCCAGTGTTTATTCTGTGTTCCAAGTGCCAATAACTTTGTGAATTCTTAACTGTGACCCAATAATTAAGATAATTGCACATTAACTACTGTAAAGAGAGGGAAAAAAAAAATCAAAGAAAAAAAATCTGTATCTTAATAAAAGGTTTGTAACAAAGATGCCTCTGGTTTTGCTTTTTTGAGTGTCTGGCAGTATGATCCATTATAAACCCCTCTACTTCATAAGGGCTTTGTGGCACTTGGGCAAACAACTAAGGGCTTTATCAATAAACTATATTATAAAGTACTGTGCTATCAAAGTACCCAAATTAAAGCACATATAATCATTCAGTCTGCAGCTTATGCATTTTTGGGGTAATTTCGTGCAACCTGGAACAGCACAAATCCACACAGCAGGCAACCGGCTGCAGGATTAAGGTTATTCCGCTCTAAAGGACGCCTGGCCGCACTGAGGTTTGTCTCTCTTACCAGGAATAGCCGCCAGGTGGCGCACATCGCTCTTGTCTGCGGCTCGAGCGGAGCGCTGCACATCCATTTTAAATGACAAACTGTTCCCCCCCCTTTTCATTATGAGAATATATGCAAAAACGTATATCACGATAATAACAAAAATATAGCTCAATAGGCAAAGATTGTTGCTTTCGTACTGCCTGTAACCTGCTACAATTGGTCGCTATGCGATGTAATTATCTTTAAAACGCTGCGTTCTTGGTTCTAAACCTTTCTTCTCACTTTTTCTTTATAATCTTTCTCACATATTGTGTACATTCGCCAATGTATAGAACTACGCAACATCTCTCCAGTCCACGTTAATCTGTATAGCAGTTATTAAATCATCACAGATATATTTGAATTGATTGCGCATTGTGCGTCTTTCACTGACAGGGTTTGATGTTGTCTATAAAAATCATGTAGCCTACGCAACACGGGTTGTTTATGTACGTAGTTGCACCGTTTTACTAATGCTTCCCGTGAGTTCCTCATAGTCACGTGACGGCCCTTATTCCCATTAAGTGACCTTCTCTCCCACCCCTTCTGGCGACTGCCATCTTGTGTTTCTCACTGACGCCTGCTTCCTCCCCCGTCATTTCCCTTAATCGCGATCGCCCCCACCCCCTGCCGTCGCATACTTTACTGCCCCTCCCCTCTTCCTCTTGGAGCAGCCCTGGAATGCGCGTCTGTGTGCGAGTCAGCGAAAAGGAATGTGCATAAAAAATACCGAAACAACAATGTAGCCAAAGCAAAGGGTTCTTGCTAGTAAAATGTTTTGCCCAGAGCGTGCTAAATCCCATTTTACTACGGCTTTTAATACACTGACTGAACCTACTCATTTTATGCATGCTTATTACATGTCTCCTATAATACTATCTGGCGAAAGACACCAGACGAGTCGTTTTTGTACGAAGAATAATACTTTATGCAAACATATTTTATACATAGCTCATCCAAAAGTATTACTCGAAATGTCTCATCATGTTTTTGTAAAAGAACGAGAATACTAATACTTTATTAACGGCACAATTTATTACCTTTTTAGATTTTCAGAGCACCATACATTACTCAAATGCCCAGTTATTCTCCCTGCAAGAATTTCCTCCACTATTAATAGTGTGTTCGATCTCAATCACATTAAAGATCCAAGCTCTTTCACCCCAAACTTGGGCAAAGCCCCCGGACACAGTCGGAAACGATACCATATAAGGAAATCGATGACGACATCTTTACCGCCCTGCTAAATATGGCAACGGAAAATGTAGCTGCCCACGCGTCATGGGTTTTCCGCTGTGCGTTCCCTGGAGACCTGGCGGATGTGCTTTATATGGTCATATGTCGACTCACTGACGGGAAACACTATGGGGAAGAACGTAAAATGTGTTTAGACTCACAAGATATACTACTCCTGATTCCGTCGTAAAATATGTGCATGGATCCGCACTTGCAGCGGATGCAGAGGAGCTATGATTCTGTTAACCATTTTGCGACCGCGTTAATGCGATATGCATAAAAATGTAGAAGTACACCAGAAGGCATGTTCAATCCTTAT